GACCAATGGAGTTTTAACTGTAGCCAGTTAACGCTACTAATTACATCCCTAATGGCATGCCTGGAAAGCAAAAGCCACTCGTAGACATCTGTAAAATTCTACCAAACATTGAAGGCCTAACAACTTAAGATATTCTCATCTCTAGTTTAGGATTTTTAGCTGCTACCCCTTACTAGTATTACTGCACAATGAATGTGAAATCAATAGCAACAGCCAAGTTCATTCTCGAATTCATGAAGGGATAAACAACTAGAGTAAGAAGTTTGTTTTTGAGTTTTATTTTTATTAACTTCTCTTCTCCTGTTATATTTCTAGTGTTCTCATTACCACATCATTCCTCTCATCCCAAACCTGATTTGTGAACCTTTTAGCTATGTCTATACTATGACTTTTGCCGCAAGAGGCAATGCAAATGAAGCATTAGGGGTTTTTTTGGGGGGGGCAAGAGGCAATGCAAATGAAGCATTAGGGGGTTTTTTGGGGTTTTTTTTTAGCAAAAACAGGCAGTGTGACTGCGCAAAACCCCCTTTTTCCTCAAGATCCTTATGCCTAGGAAGGCATAAGGATCTTGCGGGAAAAGGGGGTTTTGTGCAAAACAGCCACAGCCACACTGCCTGTTTTTGCACAAAAAACCCCTAGGGCAAAAATGGAACAAGAGAGTATGCAAATGAAGTATGAGAAAATGCTAATCCACGCTTCATTTGCATTGCCTCTTGTGGCAAAAGTCATAATATAGACAAAGCCTTTCAGATTTAGGACCTGAAATTTCAAGAAGAGTTGTGTAATTTAGGGAAAATTAAGCAATTAAGAACCGAATGAAAAAAAGTCACCTGTGATGAACAACAATTCATGATAAATTCAGAGTAGAAATAAAGCACAAATTTTTAATAAGGGTAATTTGTCTTGCTTCAACATCCAGTCATTGGTTCATGTTGTAACTTGATCTGCTAGACTGAAAAGTCTACCAAATTTCTGTTCCTCATGTAGATACACATGAGCTAATCAAATAGTTCCCCCTCCCTTCACCAACCTCCTCAATCTAAATTGACTGAGTTGGCTGAGTCTGTAAATTATGTTTTCTAATCTTTTCATCATTATCTCAGCTTGTCTCTAAATTCTCAATTAAAATTATTCATTAAGGAATTCTGGTAACTCCATAAAAGTCAGAGCTGCTAATATCACTCAAATCTACAATTTTATACATATAGGTTAGCTGACATACCTTTGAAATGTAGGTAAGTTTAATTGCTCCAACAGGTGGAGAGCCAGAGGGAAGGTTCTAAAAGCAAGCACAATAATATGGAATTAAACTAAACTATCCTCCTACCACAAAGCATGTTCAATATATATGCATCAAATACTAGGAAATGAAATCAAAGCTTTATGAACAAAAAAAATTCTATACACTATGTCCACAATACAACATTCAACACATTGTGTGCTTAAACAGGATTTAAACTACTTGGTTTCATTTATTACAAACATCTGGTAATAAACTAAAACTGAACAGTGGTTGAAAATAATGCTGATGTGAATTGTTTGAGAGAGGTTTGTATTTTACTATAGGAAAAAAGAATTCTTGCAGATTTGCATCCAGGAAATCCTCCTAAAAGAACACTTTTTCCTTAACAGATGTTGAATCGAAATAATGACAGATTATGTATTTTCATAGAAAAGAGACAGCCAGCCAACCCTCAGCTACCTACAAGGATACTGATGCAGTAGTACTTTTTAAAACATTAAAACTCCTGGAAAAAACTGGAGAAAAATGGGAGGTCTACATTAAGCCTACAAGCCTGAAGGTCACATTTCAAACTATAGTCCCTTCAAACTAGAAACAGCAGTGACACACTCTGGTGTATTAACATATTAAGATGTATTTGTGTTATTTTTCATAGCAAGTCTATACAGGCAGTCCCCGAGTTACGTACAAGATAGGGACTGTAGGTGTGTTCTTAAGTTGAATTTGTATGTTAGTCGGAGCCGCCCAGCAGACCAGGGAGACGCGGAGACGCTTTTCTCGCCCCATAGGACGTGGGCCGCGGGACCGCGGCGCATCTGGGCGGTCCCGCCGCCCGCATCCTCCGGGGCGAGAAAAGCCCCGTTCATAAGTACGGATCCGACGTAAGTCGGATCCGCGTAACTCGGGGACTGCCTGTACTAGAGAACAACTGCAGTTTAAAGGAGCAAAACAATTGTGTACTTTTTACTCTTTGCTTTAGGTCAAAAAATATTTTACTTCTGGTAACTTCAACAATTTTATCCCAGATGTTCTCGTACCTGTGGATTATCCATGTACCATACCAGATTGTCTTCCCTCGTGTCCAGTATAAAGTATCTCCGCAGAAACTTCCCACTATTCTCATTTTCTTCAATGTCTAGAAAACCACATATGCGATTCTGACGATCCACATAAGGCATTTCTGACTCTGAACATTACACTGCAAAACAAAAACAATGATTGAAACAAAAAGTTTACTTTTACTGATTATAATCAGAGATTCACCTATCAGAAGAATTTTCAAGAAAAGGAGCTTCCATGTAGCAACAAGGCAATTTTTCCCACCACATCAGTAACTTGTATACATTTCTTTTGTAATATAACTTAAGTACTTAACCGTTTATATACCATGAGTCCAGAACCACAGGTATGTATGTGTTAAATGCTTATAAAACAGCATGCCTGTTAGTTCTTTCACCAATTTGCACAAAGTTACATAACAGATTTACATTTATTTTCACTTTTAACAATATATCTTTTGCAAAATCTTCTACAAAGCACACTAGGCTCCACCAAAACAAAAACAAAAAAAAAAAAAAAAAAAATCAGAATTCTTTCACCCTTGAATGTTACTAAAAGGTGAGGGACATTAAGTATCCATATACAGCTGCAAGTAGTTATGCACACATCTTGTAAGCCCAAAAATAAAGTCTCTGGCATTGATTTGTGATGCCATCATGTATTTTTTAGAAAATCAGCTTTGAATATATATACTACTGACCACCTTTTCAGTTTATCTGCATCTTTTGTTGTTTCATCTCACAGAGACCATTGCATCATCTTCTGTTTTTATCCTCAAGAGCCAGGAAAGTCATCGGCTCTCAAATATGACATTGTAAGCAAGTAAGTTTCCACTTTGGAATAGTGATGTAAAAATCCATGTAAAACCAACATTAAAAACTGAGATATGAAAGCTTGCCTGATGTCAATATATTTTAAATCAGGATGGGAACTATTTATATAGTCTTGCATTATGCTTCTATACTTTGCCAGACAAAGTACAGATTAAAAATACCCATCTCCACACACACCGGAAGAAGAGATCGCTAGGCCGAAGTACAGGAGGCCCCTGACATGTGATCGCCCGAGTTCCGACCTTCCACACTTACAACCATTTTTGTAAGCGTGGAAGGGGCCAGAAACCCCCAACTTATGTCCTCGGCCCGCATTAAAGACAGGCGCACGTAAATGATGGCTCAAGTTACGACGCCCCCGGCTTGCGACGCTTCCCCAGGAACGGATCACGTCACAAGTCGGGGGCCTCCTGTACTCATGCATCATGGCAACATGCAAGATTCATGTAATCACATTTTTAATTACAGGTTTACGTTTGGGATCACCTGCTTGGACGTAATTAGAGTTCTTTATTTCTGTATACCACTAAATCCTTGTCACTTTGTACATAGTCCACAGTTTGATTCACTGAAAGTTAGGGATAAATAAATCTAATTTTTAAATCACTCTCATGCCATCATTAAGGTGAATGTTCTAGGAATACTTCAGGGCAAAGAAATACAGCAATGAATTTAAAAATTATCAATGAAACTTAAGTTTTAGCATGCAGAATCCTGGAAGGAAATGAAATGTCATGGTGATAGGTTACCTTATTTAAAAAAAAACTAGATAAAAATTATTAATCTGCTAGCTAAAGAGTTCAATTGCAAAATTATAAAATGGCACATCTTACTTGGTGATACCTGAGAAGATATTTCTTCTGTAGTTTTTCTGAATACATCATAGGGAATTTAAACCCTTCATCAAGACATAAGCTTCCTCATTTTCCCAAAAGGAAAATTACTATGTATATTTAAGGCAACTGACAATACTGTAGAACTTCTAAGGCTTAAATTAAATAGTCGAGAAAATTTAGAATTTACTTAAGCCAGTGTTTTCCAAATACTGTTCCGCGAAGTGAAAATAAGTGTTCTGCGAGAAAATTCCCTTACAATAACATTTTATGATTTAAAAAAAAATTGTACACATTAAATGATTTGTTTTTAAGTACGTACAATTAAACTAAATGTTGATCTCATGACCTTGTTTAGTATTTATTATTTTATCCTTACTTATTTGTGGTCTACTGTTTGAGCTCCATATATAAGACTTATTAGGGGATCTGCAAAATTCTTTCGAATTTAAAAGGGTTCCGTGGCCAAATAAAATTGGGAAACACTGACTTAAGCCATGTATAATTTATGTATCAACATTTCAGGTCATAGTATAAATATTACTGTAATGGGGAGGCATTCACCTCCCACAAGCACCCATCGTCTGGCCAAATGTGTGGGCCTGCATTCCCTCACTACATCAGCCTTTTTGGCCAAGTCACACCACTTTCTGAAATATAAAACTCCTTAACAGGTGCATCTCAGCGCCCTCTGTACAGTGTCTCAGTCTGTTTTCCCCACTCCAGATGAGAGTGATGCCTCCAGGGTTTTCCCCCCTGGAGACAAAGCCCTGAGCTATGAGCAAGGAGTTCTCACAGTTCATCAGATTCAGCCCAATCCACAGTCTCTATCCAGTTTTCCACTTGGCACCCTACACGGTGCAGCTGCTCCATCAGCCAGCCAGTCATCCCTGCTCTTCTCTCCTTGAGTTCTGCCTTGCAACCAACTGCTGCTGTGTTTTGCACTTCCTTTTGTAGGCTTCCCTAGCCCCTGACTGGCTGGTTCCTCCACCACTGCTCTAGCCTCCTCAAGGACTTGTCTATGACATTTTCTGGGGCAGAATGTGGCACAACCACAGTGCCTGCATCAGGGGGCCCCAGGGCCTCGTTACTAATATGAATAACTGTGGAAACAGCTGAATGATAGTTCTTAGTCAGCCTCACCTAGTAACCATAATAGACAAGCTCTTGGACAATTTTAGAGGGGGGAGATGTTTCTCTGCTGAAAAGATAAATACAACTAATGGAGAGACTAAGAGTGGCTATTACATAAATTGGATCCATAATTTGACAGCATTTAGCACAAAGTATATTTTCATTAAAATAAAACATCAGCTTTATGATATGAGAGGATCCTCCCAATTTTCAGCATTTATACTCTCTAGAACAGCTGGGCAACCTGCAGCCAATTAGGGTGCTATGTGTGGTCTGTGAGACATTCTGATTACTGTTGCCCATGCACAGGATTGCCAGATTCCACTAGCTTCTGTCAGCATAAGGTTCTCCCTCCCCACTAATAGTACCGAAGTGACATGCACAATAAGGAAAGGCATAAAAAATGAAGTGAGTGGTGATTGCTCAGAAAAACTGACTACTGAGAACCATGTGTTCCCTCTGCATCCCATCAAAGCTTTGCAATGGTTCAAGTGGCACATCCCACAAATTCTAGGAATGCAAGTGCAATTAGCAAAACCACAATGTCTTGGTTACAACAATCTTGCAGTCCACTGACATGGAGGGCCACTCATGAAGCCCACTCACTAGTCTAGGTTGTCCATCACTGCTCTAGATAACTGTGTGTCATGCATAGCTCAATTACAGCTTGACTGTTTCCTCAAAGTAGAAACAGACCAGAGAAATGGGATGTCAATAAAATCAAGCAAATACTGGTAGCTTATTTCCTGTCAAAGCAAGCTGAAACTATTCTCTGCAGAGACTTTGTAGAAACAAGAAAAACTGTACTCATTTTTTTCCATCAAGGTAGAGAATGAGGTTTTCAAAGCCCTATATTTAAGATCTGGTAAATAAAAATAGAGTGAGTCTTCAAAGAAAACCTGTTTCCTATTACATTTTTAAGAAGATTCATCTGCCGTTCTTTTGTATGGTTGAAGAGAGGATCCAGAACCTAGAACTGATTTAATAAAAACCCACAGTTAAGGAAAAGTTAAGGTTTTAAACAGTAATGAGATGTTAAAAAACAATATTTCTGAAACTGTAATTAAGTATAAACAAGTAAATAAGTTCCCAAGGACCCTAATCATGCTAAGATTTAGTCATATAATGAACTTTAAGTATGGGATTAGGTTCACTAAAGATACTGTGATTACTCCTAGGCCTTACATCTTGGCAGGACTGGGGCCAAAATACAGGTTTGTTTTGTCGATATACTAAATGCAGAAGGTTCGTTTTGTTGATATACTAAATGTAACAAGAGAAAAATGCTTCAAAAGTTCAGCCTCTAATTTTAGGCTTACATAACTATTCCACTTCTTATTCCTATATGTCCTTTGTTGAAAATCCAACAGAATATTGATTTGAATCCACTGTAAAATGATCACAGTATAAAACTTTCATATTTTAAAGATTACTACCATCTTTAAAGATTACTACCATCTTGTATTTGTGACTGGGTTCAGTCACAGAAGACCCCCTCGGGGCTGCTTCCTGGTGTACTGATAAAGCCACTGACACTAGCCTTCTTGCTCTGTTGGGTCTCTCACCACCCTGTCCTCCTGGTCTCTCCCAGCCAAGGGACAGAGCTGAGATGACCGTTCCACCACCCTCCCTGAAAAGCAATGCAGAAACTGAATCACTTGAGCTCGGAGTAGATTGCATCCAGGAAACCAACCCACAAATGGGATCAGAACTCACCCCAAAAAGTCAGTCTTTCAATGTGAGAGTGTTTCACGCATTGAAACCAAATTCAGGTAAGCTCCCTTTAACAATGAAAGGAAAATGTGCACACCAATTGCTCCCACAGGTAACACATTTACACTAGACTCGATAGTAAATAAAAGTAAATTTTATTAAGTACAACGGTATGTTTTAAGTGGTTGCAAGTGAAAACAGAGAAAAGTAAAGTACAAATTTAAAATAAAACACATAGCTAGTTCTAAAACTTATCACTGTCACAGCATTCATCTTTTGATTTGACTATTTGAAAAGACAACATTGACTCAGACAAAAGCCAGTAATTGGAAAAAGGATTAAAAAAAACCTGACTTTCACCAGTACATAAATCCAAATGTATGTTTCAACCAATGCTCTTCTGCTATAAGACATACCCTAGAAATGTTTGTCAGTAGATAACTTAATAGATGCAGCACTGTCTCTAGGAAACAAGTGGCAAACAGATAACATTCTCTGCCATAAAAGGCTTACAATCCAAAACAAGGCTAGGTAGTGCACACACAGACTAGAGTATGACTTCAGCTCAAATGCTTCACAATAAGGAGGGTTTGGAACTTTTGTGGAGAAGAATCAGAAGGCTTCAA